AGACGAACAGGCACACGCGGACACAGACGTGCATTCCCACCCCATATGCACAACCAAATACTCGGCACTCACCCAACGTGTAGACAGACACAAATAGACACTGCACAGACAGTCGCACTCCCCAAACATACTCTATATCCCTAGATTATTTATTTTGAATGAATAAACTGTGTATGTGTGTCTCAGGTACATGCTGATGGGAGGAGCTATAAACTTGTCCATGCTCCAGGTCGGCCGTTTCCTAACTGGCGTTGCCGCAGGGATGACTGCAGCATCCATTCCTGTAGGTAACCATGGTTATTATAATTTTTTGTATTCTCTGAGTCCCTAATACGTATATGGATACCTGACTACAGCATCCTATAAAAATGTTGGTAAAAGTGTTCAGTGTTCCCAGAAAAGTATTAAGAGATTGCAGTTAATTCATCCAGTTTTAAAAACACTGCATTAAAACTAGATAGACAGTCACTAAAATGAATAAATCATGTGTGAGAAAGCATGAACATAGTTTGTCTAACATGTCCCTCATTAATGGGATAAGCTACACCATTGGTTACTTTTATGACAAGTGCAGAACTGAAAAGACAAATGAGCTTAAAGTAAATTTGCATCATCAGAGCAAACAGGTTTGTCAGGAAGGAAAAATCTAGTGTCCTGTAAAGCTGGAAATATTGTTAAGTTAAAAAAAATGGAGTACTGAATCTCACCTAGACCCACAGAGCATGGATGCATGAGCTAAAACAACTTTGAGAATTTCCACATGCTAAAGAAACTAGATGTAACTATTATAATGGTAAGCGCCTCTTCTCTTCTCTTACATATTTAATTAAACACCTAAACTTTATGCACTTGATATAAACTGAATGTATATCAGTCAAGTAAATTTCACTGAATATTTTACATTTTACGTAACACAAATTACATGTAAACTTTACATGAATTCCAGAATTCCTTTTATGCTGAATAACTTATTTAGCAGGTGTGCTTGTACCGTCTTTGTGAGTCATCTCAGTGTAGTTGAGTTGCTTTTTGGAGACACTACTGGCATCTTTTGACTTACTCTCTGAATTTGTACTAGTTGACTTTATGCAACTGTGATATTATGTGTGTTTGCAGGTTTACATCTCAGAGATCTCCCACCAAAAAGTGAGAGGAGCTCTTGGCTCCTGCCCTCAGATCACAGCTGTAATTGGGGCCCTGGCGCTCTACGCTCTTGGTAGGAACAAACCAGTGCTGGTGCATACCCAGTCATGCCAGCTTTATACATAGTTAGCTGTCTTTGCTAAAATTGGTTGTGCATCTTACTTTTCTTGCTTTTAATGGTATTCTCATATAAAACCGTGTTGTGATGTTTTAAGTGGTGTATCTTAAAAAAGAAACTGCCTCTCTTTTTTTTGTATAAAATGGACAGGTCTGGTGGTGCCATGGAGGTGGCTGGCTGTGGCAGGCGAGGTGCCAGCTGTGTTGATGGTTGTGCTGCTGGCGTTCATGCCCTCCTCCCCCAGAAGGCTCCTCTCAATGGGCCGGCAGCAGCATGCTGAGAGGGTGCTCCGCTGGCTCAGGGGAAATCAGTATGACGTCCAGACTGAGCTCCTTGCCATACAGGTAAATAGGCAAGCAGTTGATTTACTGGGTTTCATTGGAGATGAATATGAGACACCTCAGTATACATCCTACAGGGTTCATAGACATTAACACATTTGTTGTAACTCCATTAATGCAGCACAGCATCGACACACAGCCCAAAATCACATGGTCTCAGCTGGGAACACCAACCTACTACAAGCCAATCCTGATCTCAGTGGGGATGCGTTTCCTGCAGCAGATGACAGGCATCACACCAATCCTGGTTTACCTGGAGCCCATCTTTAAAAAGAGCAATGTCCCCCTGCCACCCAGGTTGGTGGTTTATTTCCCATGTGGATTTTATTGTTTTTAGCCTTTTGTGCTTTAATGATAATAACACAAATGATACATCTAATTAATCATTTAAATTGACTTTGAAACTCAAGAATAATCACAAAAGTTCGTCTTTAAACTCCATATCTGTGTTTCTGTATCTGCCAGGTATGATGCTGCCATCGTGGGTTTGGTGCGCCTCGGCTCTATTGCCGTGGCAGCTTTTCTGATGGACAAAGCAGGACGCAAGGCTCTGCTGTACACATCGAGCATGCTGATGTTTTTGTCCTCTCTGACTCTCACCATGGTTTCTCACACCACACCTTGCCCTCCTGGCCCTGCTCCTCCAAACCACACCGCTCCGGACTACACCTCCCACAATGACTTTGGAAGCACTTTTATGAGCAATGCCCAAACTGCAGGGAGCGTCTTGCCGATCATTTGTACCGTGGTGTTTATATTTGGTGAGTTCTGAAAGCAACAGATATTTAATTATTTGTTTCTGGCAGTCAGTGACGTGGTAGTGAGAGGTGCCAAGGGGGAAGCTGCATCCATAAAGTATTTGAGTGCGTCACACAGACGTAGACTGCTTATCAGTGTTAAAAACTTGACCATGCAGAAAGTCATATTATCTGTAAGATTATACAGTGAAAGTACCTGAAAATCTGTTCTGCCAATATGGTTGAATTTGCTATGGCGGCGCCAATGACTGTATATCAAAGATGGACTTGAGCAGTTTGGGGTTTTTAGGTCGTTGTTTTTCTAGTGTCAGCCTCAAGTGGTCATTTAAGGAACTGCAGGTTTTGACACTTAAGCATCAGCTCTATTTTTCAGCAGCAGAGATTACTGATTGGTAACAAACGCCATAAACAATTAAGTTAGCATTTAAACAAATACATGTATACTTTTATGGGTTGTAGAGGAGAAACTTAGTAACCTGTCAGGCATGTGCTTTGTGTAAATTACATCAGAGGTGTTAAATCATCAGCTCTGTTATATTTCGCTGTTGGAGCCTCATTAACAGACTATGACGTGTCAACATTATATCCTCATAAAATTATGATGGACAAATATGTTGTCACACCTGCTCAGCTGAGGAAACCCCCAATGATTTACATGTTGTAGCATTAGCATGCTGTACTGTGCTTCTTCCCTTCAGGGGTTTTGTTTTCAGACGTCGTTAATCACACCTTAAAGAAATGTCCCAGTCTGAACATCCTAAAATATGCTGTCTCTGTGCTGTGACTGTGCCTGACAAAGGGCGTCTGCTGCTTTCATTGTCTCATGATGTCATCTTCTTTAATGTGGGCTGTTAGCTTTATTATCACATTGTTGGTTGTCTCCTAGGATACGCCATGGGATGGGGCCCAATCACATGGCTGCTAATGTCAGAGGTGCTTCCACTGGCTGCCAGGGGTAAAGCTTCTGGTGTGTGTGTCACCATCAGCTGGCTGACGGCCTTCGGGCTCACGCACGGCTTCACACACTTAGTGGACACGTACGGCCTGTATGCGCCCTACCTGCTTTTCACGGTGGTGTGCGTCGTCTCTCTGCTCTTCAATGCTGTGTGCATCCCAGAGACTCGCAAGCGCTCGCTGGAGGAAATAGAGAACTACTTCAGGACGGGACGCACGTTCACCATCAACCAGTCCAGTTGAGGCCTGCATCAGTCTCATTCACATGATGTACTTATATATGGGGTGCCGTTTGTAAAGTGAAACATGCTGAAATTAACGGCAACATTTTTCCACATTTAGCTCAAAACAAGTCATTTTTTACAACATTTAGTAAAATATTAGTAACTTTTCATATTTAAAACAGAATTTGAAATATTAAATCTAAATGTTAAATATTCAATCTAAATGTTAAATGTTAAATCTAAATATTATATTTAAATCTAAAGGTTAAATGTTAAATCTAAATATTATATTT